TTAAATCTGGGTTGGAGACAAGAACAAGATCAAGAGTGGTTGTGCCACGAGTTGGCATTGTGACTGATTGCGATAAGTTAAAAAGGAGACACAGTTCGAGGAAATCTCTGGATTGTCGTGAACTAGCACACAAGTTGTCCCAGTCAATATCAGGGTAATTAAAGCCCCCCATAGCAAGAAGTTCGCGTGAAGAAACCGGGATGTCAGATCAAAAAGAACATTTTGAAGGTCATCTGTGAAAGAGTGGTCGCAGTCGGGTGCGCGGTAACAGGCTATAAGAATGTTTTTGCACGTGGGAAGGATTATTTCAACGCAAAGAATTTCAAAGTTCGTACTGATTGTCACAGTTTGGGAGGGTAGGCTGTCTTTCACGAAAACTAAAATACCACCCCCTCTGCGTCTGTTCCTATCAAGTCTGTAAGACGTGAAATGGGTGTTGCTGTGACGTAATTCATTGTCGTGAATATCAGGGGTTAGCCATGACTCAGTTAGGATTGCGATGTCGGTGCTGGTGTCCTCAAGGAGAGTTTGCACAGCTTCCTTTTTGGGCATATAGCTACGGATATTCGTAAGCAGGATAGATGTAGTTTAATAAACTGGAGGAGCGATTCTAGTTGGGATGGACTCGAAAGGAGGGGAGGACGGAACCCTGGAAGCACACAGTGAACGCTATGCTTTCAGTTCTATAACTCTGTCCGATTCAGCATCATAAACGAAAGGCTTTTTGTCAACGATAAGCTTGTCGAAACGGATTTTGAAGGACACGAATTTGCTTTCCTGCGCATACAAGAAAAGCTTCTTCCTTGCCAATCTTACACGCGCTGAATAATCCTCGCGTACAGAGAATAACGAGTCCTTCAGTTTCGGGCCAGCGGAAAGTATTCTAGCCTTATCCTTAAATCTGGACAGGGTGACTATAATCGGGCGGTTTTTATTGGCTTTAAAGCGGCCTAGTCTGTGTGCTCTTTCAATATCTATGGAAGTAATTGGAACTTCCAGTTTTTCGGTGCAAAACGAGATTATACGCGATTCTGATTCGGCCCATGTTTCGTTAATGACGTCGGGTATTTCAAAAAATAGCAGGTTGCACCGGCGGAGGCGATTCTCTGAGTCGTCGCATTTTTCGGCTAGCGTTTTAATGCTGGAAGAAAGGTTAGATAGGGTATTACCATTCTCGGTAGTGGGATCAGTGGCACGGGCTGCGTTAATTTGCTCAAGAGCGTCAACACGGGAGGAGAGGCGATCGACCAAGCCTTCCATGTTTGATTGTGTTGCTCGGATAAGGGCCAATTCAGAGAGCACTGTGTCTTGCGATTTTTCAACGCAAGCGATGGCTTCAGCAATACTTTCAAGTATGGGGGAAGGACCAGGGTTAGATTCAATGTCTCCCGCGAGCATGAGCAGAAGGCAAACTAAATGGGCATTCACGGCGAAAGAACACAATGATTGACACAATATTCTACGCCACCTACGCCAGCAATCAAGGATGTCAGGGGGGCACGACACCGCAAGTAGAAAGGAATCACTTGATCGAAAGGAATTAGCGTGTTGCAAGTAACTGACCTGCATTAGGAAGGGCATTTTCATGATCGCGTTCGATGCGGTGGCATGCCCCCGTAATGACAATGCTAGTTTTTTGGTCTCAGCCAACGGTGCCAACGCCGGAATTGCTGCAAAATGAGCACCTTATTGATTGTCTTAAAAAATAAATGAAGGCGGTGACAACATATTCAAGTTTCTACACCACCTCGCTGTGAAATCAGTACCCACTAGAGCCTACACAGTTCTCCAAGTGGTACTAACATTAGATTTCACGGCGTAACAGCCCGTGGGATTGATTCCTGTGAATGCTCGCACAACATAATCTGCAAAACATCGACAGCGAATATGACTTGGAAGCTATTTTATACGAACTTTAAAGTTTGCGCCCACAACCAAGCGCTATACGTCGCACCTCTCGGCATTGACACCCTCGAAGGCGACTCGACAGTGACCCCCACATTACCCTCTTGCCACCACGTTGCAGTGGATACATCAAGTTATGATGACACTAAAGGCCCCATTACTCCTTTGCAGTGTTTTCGCCAGCAGACTACTACTTGGGCATGTGGCGCCGGCGCACGCATTGAGAACTTCCCATTTCGCGACACTGCTGTCCGACTTCCTGTTCGAAAGGACTTTTTGATGCAGACCTTGCGAAAGCACGTCACCGTTTTGTGTGCGTACGAGGTCGAGTGTTTCACACTAGGTGCTGATAGTTGCACCTGGCGGCTTGTTTCTGGAGCTCTCCCGAATTACAAGCGACGCTAGTCAGTAATGAGGGACCTGTAATTAATTATCTGCTGCATGCTGCAGCAAACAATGCATGTGCAATGACACACAGGCCACCAACAAAAAATTGTAGTAAAGAAAATGCGAGGCCAAAATTTTTGCGTCACTGCAATCAAGCGAACATTAAGTACCTTGTTCTTCTAGGGGGCCAGAGACTTAATGTGCCAAGATTCAGAAAATTTTGTAAGGGCCAATGCTGCCAAAATACAGAAAAACAATTTGAAATCCATGAAGTGATGCTGACATTCATGCACGCAGATTGAGGTGCGAAAGTTATGAAATGAAACTTCGCAGTTCATTTTAATCTCCAGTTAATAAACCTGTGAAGTGAAAGAAATAACAGTAGAGCTTTCATTGCACAATTCACTGTCTAAATTGATTCACCGTTACACTTTAGCATCCCTTGAGGCATAATTTGTGATCCTGCACCTCACAGCACAATGATGTACATGTTAAGCGATCACAGTGTACTTTTTAATGTCCAACTAAGAGTCGTATGAAGTCATGATGAGTGTTCTATGCTGACTCTTGTGAGTCACTGTGAAGGAACAGAAACATACAGTCGAACACAGATATATTGAACCCACATATATCGAAATTTCGGGTATATCGAACTCGTAAGTTATCCCCCTGAATTTCCTTTGTAAAAGTATAGAAATTTGCAAACTTATATCGAACAGTATTTTTACCCACCTTCGGATGGATATATCGAACGCCGTGCAAGCTGGAAGGTGCGCTTCAGTACTCGCCGCGCCCCGCAATATCGGCGGCAGCGCGGCTGCACGCGCGACTTAGAAGGTGCACTTTTGCACTCGCAGCGGCCGGCGTCTTCCGCGCCGCAACACGCCTCTGCCAAAACCCAAAACGCTCGAAAAAAGGTAAAGGTGAGTGGGCTTGGACTGCACGATAACTTGCGGAACGGCTTTCTTTTTCCTTTCTCTCTCTCTCTCATTCTTTCTCTGCGTACCCGTCGGCAGGAACGAAGGCGCCGGCGTTCTCCTTTTTTCGCCTTTTCTTTTGCTTTTTTTTGTTGTTGTTTTGCGAGTTTTGATCAGCCACCCACAGCTCTCCCTTTTTACTGTTGACCTCGATAACGCCTCCTCTATTTTATGAAACGCTGTCCTCGCAGGTGACCATCGCCTCGCGAGGGCAGTGTTGCTTCCGTTCACGCGTCGCCGCATGTGCAGCATTTCTTCTTTTTTTTTTTTTTGCGTGCGTGGTGTGCAAAGCCACTGCTGACTTCTTGAATTGTTGACTTTTCGTCTAGCTACGGCCAGCGTCAGGAAGCGCAAGACCCTTGACTTTGCGACGAAGTTGAAAGCTGAATTAATTAGCATGTTGAGGCGGGCGAGAAATATTCGACCGTAGCGAACGACTTCAGGATATCACGGAGCACTCTGAGTACCCTGTTGAAAAACAAAGCAGATATCAAGGCAAAAGCGGCGAAGCAGCGAACTTCGGGAGCCTGCCATGTGCGCGCTTCTGCCCACGGGAATATAGAAAAGGCACTCAACGCCTGGTTTTTAGAAGTGTTCGTGAAGAACATTCCGATGGACGGCCCGATACTGATCGCCAAGGCCAAATGGTTCGTTGCTACACTCGGTGAAACAACTTCGCTGACAACATTGGATGGCTTCACCGATTTAAGCTGTGCTACAACATCGTTGGCAAAACCATTTCTGGCAAAAGCGAAGCTGTCAGCATCCAGAACATGCAGCAGTGAAAGATGAAGGAGTGGCCAGAAATCTCCGCTAAGTTTTCTCTCGCGGTGATCTTCAACACCTGGCGAGACGTAAGACGGACACAGTGGTCAACTGCACCGCAAGACAGGCTTCGAGAAGGCGAAACTAAGGGAACCGGGCTGTCCCACCTGGACACTCTTGATGAGATTGAGACTAGCGTCTTCGCAACATTGCAAGTCAAAGCAGGCCAAGATAAGCGATTTCTGTCATGCAAATGAATAATTCTGTTGCGGCGTGTGTGCAGAATTAGTTGTCATTCTTGACTGTGCCTGTTGTAGGTGATGATCCACTACAGGTAAGTTCTCAGGGCCTGTATTTTTTCATATATCGAACTAATTCACGATCCCCTTCGAGTTAAATATATCCGTGTTCGACTGTATAAGGTATACACTAAGTAAATGGAAATCTGTTAAATGAAACTGCTGTTTATGGTCATTTTTCAGTAAACATAGCATATTTTTCTGGTACCTGCAGGTTCCGTTTAATGATAGTCACAACAGAATCCTTGCAAAGATAAATCGCTTGCAAAGTTAAAGTGCCTCTAAACAGAATGACCGGCTTTATTCGGTTGCCTTCATATTGACCACTTTACTGATATTAGTACATCCATAGAGATGAACAATGCACCTATTCAAGAGGAAACATTTTCTCTGTCCCTTCAGGTTCAGTTCAATGAGATCCTACACAAAAACAGTTACACAGCGCATGTGGGCTAGGGGGCTACACTCAAACCTCATTATAACGAACACAGATATAACAAAACATCAGTAATAACGAAGTAAATTGAAAATAGTCTTGAAATAGATACAGTGTAAGGAATAACATTTATACCGAATTTTCGGATGCAACGAACTTATTTTCTTGTAAGATGCAAGTCTATTATAATGAGATTAGAGTGTATACTGTGTCAATACGGCATAAACTCACTTGGTTTGTACTTCAACATCTTGGAGGAACCTTTTGAGCTTGGCAAAAAGGGTCTGCTTGGACTCCACCGTTTCCTCAGAAACAATGGCCATCCCGAGTGTTTCAGTGACGACGCAGACACCAGCTTCGTTCACCTTGTAAGTTGTCAGTGGGTAGCTCGGGCAGGCAATCTGCAGTCAAATAACATTTTAAGATGTCCACGAGTCAAGGAAGCAAAACAAAGCACCCTGTGAGGGAATCAAGGAGTCTGTCAAAGTTAGACAAGCGGACACTACAGTGAAATCTCGGTAGAACGAACCCCACAATACCGAACTTTTCAGATTAATGAGCTCTTAAAAAATCCTGCGCCCATTGCTAATAGCTTTAACGTAAAATTATTTCACTACCACGTACTTTTGGAATACCAAACTTTTCAGGATAACGAGGGTTAATTTAGTTCCACATTATATTAACAACGCCTCAGTACTACAAGTTTATGTTCTGAAATCCGTCCCGACCACTGGAGCGGTAACGCAAGCAGACGACAAAGCGAACGGACGCCTTGCTTCTTGGAAGACGCGCGACGATGTGGAGGGAAAAAAAACGAAAGAGCTACTTTTTTTCTTTCTTTTTGTTGAAACGCTGACACTGCAGCAAGTGAGCGCAAAAGCAAGGGCTACATGGGAAGGCAAGGTCAGCGAGGCAGAGTGGAAGTTGCGGAGCAGGAAGCATGGGCGCAGAAAACCTGAGGCAGCAATAGAGCAGAAAATGAAACGCGAGAAATTTTCTTTTTTAGCATTTTTTTTTCTTCGAAAGAAGCGATGACAGCCATGCCGCTTCGGGTTTTTCTTTGGAGGCCTTGTTTTTTCAGACGTCTTCGTCTCTTTTCGGTGATACTACAAATGAGTTCATCTCTCCTTGTGACAAAGAAGCGGACGCAGTTTTCGCTAAGTGAGACAATAGATATTCTTCGGCAACTGGAAGGCAAAAAGCAGGCTGTTGTGACCAAAGAACCAAATCGCACCACAGGAATTTGGATGAGCTGGAGGCCTTTGCGCTTCAAAGTTTGAACTGCTCGCGTCAAAAAAAAAAAAAAAAAAAAAAAAGACACAGACTTCTTTAGAGTAAACGTGCATTTCTTGGTGTTTACTTGTGCATTTGTTTTTTTTTTCTCGTGAAAAACGAGTTCAAGGACACACCGTTGTAAAGGTAAGTCGTTTTAGTTGGTAAAAAATAGGTATTTTTGGTTAATTTTTAAGCTTTCACTATAATGACCCCTAAAAATAACGAACATAATTCTGCAGTCCTATGAAGTTTGTTATATCGAGATTTCACTGTAAACAGGTGGGCATTAAAACTTTACATTTGATACCTGGTTCTAGAGTAAAAACACGTTAATTTGAACGTACAGTAACAATTGAACTCCTTTATAAAAGATGTACGCCGGGCAGCAATTCTTGCCTTTTATATGAGGTGTCTTATGATATAGGTGCCGTGTATACATTTTCTTATGAACACCTATTGCAATTTAGGCACACTGGTGTCTCTTATACCAATTTGTCTTTTGCATTGTGTCTGTTATTAAATACCTTTAAAACGTTCACTACCTCTCGAGAAGGATCTGTACCATGTACAAATATGAGGAAGTCACCCACATACCTGAAGATATGTTTAGCAATTCCAGAAATGTGCTGCTCGATTCCCCTGTGAAATTTACTCAAAAATATTTTACAGCCTCTTCTGTCCCGCGTGTTTTAATTAAGTGCTCTTCAACATAATTGCAATTATGAACATAATCCAACTGGCGCAACTTGCCATCTCCATGCTCATGGAGTTGCAACAGAACAAAAGCATGCAAATGCAATAATGATTAATCTTATTTATGATTGTGTTAACTTTGTCATGTAAATAATTGTGTCTTAAAGCATAAATACTTGACTTGTGTGAATATTCAAATGCTTTGGATATTTGAACAAAGATCACAGTATTCAATTTCGCTTTGATTAAAATTTAAGTTACTGAAAGTTTCAAAGTATTCGAAATGAATGAATAGCTGCATATTAGCCCACGTGTAACCCCGTAAAGGTGGTTTCACTGCAGTGAAGTAGTGCTAAGCTGTGAAAACAGCTATTAAAAATCTGCACTGCCACAAAGCCCCACTTCAAGGTTAAATGAACCGATTAATTTTTTTTGCGTTTAATACCTACTAATACTAAGCTTTGTATACCTACTTATATGCTCTGGGTATAGTAAATATGAAAGTGTAACATGTTTCTTTACAGGTTATCACTTGCATTCTACCAAAACTCAAATCCTGCTACTATTCAAAGTTGTTTCTACTTGCTTTGAACCCCCAAAAAATAGTATTTGCACAGGCCTTGTCTCAATTTAAAAAAAATATGTATAATATATTGTACAGGTTAGTTAGGTAATCACAAGTATGCCCATTTTTTATTAGCAGATGTGATATACACTATTTCAATTTAATTTGAAATTATTCAACAAAAATCAATATTCGCACAAGAGTGATATATTTTCCACATTAAGGCTCATCCCTCAGATGAATAGATGTCGGGGATTGTTCCTGATGTATCCCTGACTGATTGAATAAATTTGTTTGCTCCTATGATCTCAACTTGAGAAATCACCTACCATAAACGCTGAGAAACATATAATTTGCCATAACGAGTCCAGGGGTTGCTTCGTTGGGTTCTGCCCATGAAGTGTCGTGCTATGTCCTTTAGTTGTCGCGCCCGCCTGCTAATTCAAACATTGCTTAATTGAAACTGTTTTACAGTCCCTTTTAAGTTGAAATTAACAAGCTTCTGCTGTATCTATTCTGCAAATGTTTGCCTCACAAAGCATTCAGTAGTATATGCTCAGGCAATTGTTTCTTAAGTTCATGCCTTTCATTATTAAAATGTTGGGTGTGACACTTCACTTACCCTGGCATACCTGCCAAGTTCGAGTATTCTGGATTCGAAAGATTTTTGTAACAAGAGGGGGAGGTCGCACTGAATTCTTTGTTTTATTTTAATTAACCAAAAGAAAACAAACAGGAGAAGGGGGGGTTCCAATCGCAAGCAAAAACATCAGCGTTTTGGTCTTACATAATGGCTTCAAATGGCCGAACTTACAAGGGTAGGGTTTCCTACTAAGGTGAGAGACTCAAAGTGGGAGCGCAAATACTCCCGCAAGTTTGCGTCACCAAAACAGCTAGCAAAATTTATTTGTCAAAACAACTAGCATATGTATTTTTTGGGACAAACGTGAACGGACAGTATGGCGCAGCTGGCTGCCATGAAAGCGCAGGTCACAGCTTTGCTCGCTACTAAATTCTTTCGACATAAACGCCAAAACGCGTCTAGCCTTTTTTTACATCTTTACTGCCTTAACCTACTGCTTCGTTAGCCGCGTGCCCTCAGAGCTTGTAGATTGCTATCGAGTCGCCGCGACCGCGATTTTGTGCGAGGCAGTTGCCGCAAACGGTAGTTCCGTTTTCCATCCGCATGCGCTGGCAGCGCACGTACCTTCAAAACTAAGTCGTTTTATGCTATTTATAATAGCATCTGCTGCTGTTTTGTCCACAGAGCTTGCAGAAAACAGCATTGCTTTGACTGGTTGAGCACTGGATGAGTGCACTCTTACGGATTTCTGTCAGTTATGCCGTCGTCGTACATGATCTTGTCAAGAACGACTGAGGTTTCATCCACAGCAAATTGTGGCAACAACCACAGCACACGCACTGTACAAAACAGTGCGTGCGCTGGTCGCTCGGGTGCTTTCGAAGCTTTGAGCACGCTGCTCTCGATTGGCCTTCGTTCGACGGTTCCAGTAATAAAGTTCATATTACCCACTGCGATTAGGAAAAGTGTTCGGAACATTCAAATTTTGGCCCAATGGCACAGTGGAATATGGCGGGGAATTTAACGAATCCGTATCTGCTGCAGTTTCGCATCACTGAGATTCTACTATACGTTGAGATGAGCACCTCATAATTTAGTTTATAATAAAATGTGGTGGGTTCGCGAGAAGCCTGGAGCAGATTTATGTCAATGAAGCCACATGCACGCACAGAAATCTTGATTTCCAGGAGATTTTTACGACAACTGTACTCACGGAAGAAACGGTCAAAATCCGAGAGTCTACTGGACAATTAAGGAGACATGGCAGGTATGACTTGGCGAACTCTATGCACGTACACCGAGGTAAAAAAAGCATCCCTTTTATCTGATATGTCACTGCCGGCCATTGTGAATTCATAGCAAACACGCGGTGTTTTGCATGGTGCTCTTGCCTCAGCCAAATGCAGATTTGACCCGTAATATGCCCAGGTACGCCAAAAGTTCTTGAAAGGAGAGCGCTACCTTTATGGAGTATGCCTCGCCGGAAGCGTGGTCATTGCAGAGGATCATGTTCTGCTTCATGCCAACGCTTTCACGCACACCCAGTTGGTAGAAGATCTGGTTCCGCTGGTCCTGTGATGGAGACGTACCGGTCGTGAGAGTTATAAACATATGGTACGCTGCAACAGACACGACAATTCCTTGCAAAACACAATGGACAAGTTCCATTTTCGTTTTCTCGACCTGCCGCACCAACTTAGAGCAACAAGTTGGTGCCACATGTGCTTGCTTTTATGTTTTCTAGGCTTGTGTGAATATTGTATTGAATATTACTGTATTTGAATTCATTTTGATTCGGATTTAAAATGTTGAAAATTTTGGAGTACTCAATGTGAAAGATTAAATGTATATTAGTCTGCATGTAACCTCCTGTAGATGTGGTTTCACAGCAGTGAATGAGTGCTAAGCCGTGAAAGCATCTATACAAAAGAAATGCGCACTGTCACGAAGCCCCACTTAAAGGTTTAAGGAACATATTACCGCCACATCGATTCATAATTTTCCAAGTTTAAAAGCTGTTCGCACAGGTTATATGCACTAAGTACAATAAATTTTAAAACGTAACATATTTTACACTGTATCACTAGCATTTCACCGAAAGACAAATTCTGTTGCTATTGAATGTTGTTTCCACTTCCTCTGAATTAAAAATAATGGCATTTGCACAGACCATGTTTCCATTTTGAAAAAAAAAAAAAAAAGAAAAAAGAAAAACCGCAGGTTAGTTTGATCATGACACATATGGCCAATTTTTTATAATATGTGACATACACCATAATAATTCGATTTGAAATTATTCTATTAAAAATTTAAAATCACTATTTGTTTTGAATTTGCTTCTGACCTAAAATTCACTATTTACACAAGCCTGCTAATTTTACATAACTGGCCTGCCCCGTGTGAAAAATACCTTGCGCCAACTGCGGCAGATAGTCTGGGTACAGACAATGAACTTTATTGAGGTCCTGAGGGGCGACTTGGAAAGTCCCCTTACGGAGGGAGGAGCCACCGAGAGCAACTCCACCGTCTGGACAGGTAGGCAGTGCCTGACCGCTGCGTCAGGCACCGCTTTGCGTAATAAAGTGTTCGATCTTTACTGTCTAAATTTCAGTATCCTTATTGCCACAACCCCTTAACAGCAGCCCATGGGTCAAGTTGAGATGTACGCTAAGACCGCAAGCAATTTCAGATGCTTTGGTGTTTCCTCATCTGAGAAAGCAGAGAGGTGACGGAGCACCTACATTTTACGGAAGGAATGAGACGTAAACGGGACCAACACATGAGGAGGCATGGACGAACGCCTCGACATGGCTGAACACATGAAGAGAGACGTGCTAGGCATTCGTCTATGTTTCTTCGTGTGTTCGTCTCGTTTAGGTTTCATTCCTTCTGTAAAACATGCGCCAACTAGCCCAACAAAAAGTTGGAGCGCCTACCTTTACGGAGATATCGATGAGGGCAACGTCTGCGTTGTAGAACAGGTCCAGTCCGGCGGACTCCCCAAAATCGAGCTTCTTAAAGGGCAGCTCGTGCAGCGTGGCCCCGACACAGCTAGCTGCCTTTTTGATTTCCTCAAACGCAGCCTTGCGCTGTGCCAGACGGCCCCCTGCAGCACCTGTTCCGGTGATCTGCAAACCAAATGGTAGCACAAAGAGAACATGTCAAGATTTCTAGTACAGTCGGTGCCGGGTGTATCGAACTTGGATATATTGATATATTGGCTATATCAAACAGCTGAAAAATTCCCTTGAAGAACACAAGTAAAAGTATAGGGCACAGGTGCGAATATATCGAACATTTGTACGTCGACATATTCGATACACCGAACGGTGCGCAGCGTCGGAGCCGTGACACCGATCACCATTCAGTTTCGTTCCAAAAGAATTACGAACCGTTTTCGTGCATGCATCGAAAATGTGATCATGTTGCTTCAATAAGTTCGCACAGCGCTTATTCAGTCACGTTTTAAAACAGTTACGGACACTTATCGTGTGCGCGCACATTGAGAATGTGATTACATTGCTTCAATAAGTTTGCGCAGCGCTTGCGATCGCACCTGTTTGTCTGCTGCGATATTCAGCTTGTAAGGTGTGGTAAAGCGTTTTTTAATAATTATAGCAACAGTTTGAAGCACCAAATAAAACTTAAACGATAGTCTGCACTGGCGGCTACGGCACGATGTGCCTTCTCAAGCTAATCCCGCACGCTGGCATGCAGCCCCCAAACACATAGCCTTTGAGATCTGTTTCCATCAGCGCCCCATGCCACAGTGGCTATTTCGGATCTGGAAGGCCATGCATTTGCGAATGGTACACCCCTGGCAGTTTTTCGTTTTCTTCTTTTTTTTTGCTGTTTGTTTTAAAAAGCCATGGTAGCATTGCCACCTCCGAGATTATGTTTAAACAGGAGTAGGACTCCGTAGCAATCATTGCTCTTTTGTTCGTGTTGTGCTGGCTTAGTGTTCTGTCGCCGACTCGCCGCTCTCACATTTCCGACTAGTGCGCGGCATCTTTTCGGCCCTGGTTGCCATGGACGCGAAGAAGCCTAAGAACTTAAACTTGGCGACCGAAACCGACATCATTCGGCGAGTGGAAGCTGGAGAGAAGTCGTCGATCGCAGAAGCTTTCGGCATTCCTTGGAGCACATTGAGCACGACTCTCCGAAACAAAGCCGATGTAAAGGCAAAGGCTCCCCAGTGCTTGCTCCTATGTACGACAACTTTGAAAAAGCGCTGTACGCCTGGTTTTTGGAAACCAGGGCGAAAAACATTCCCTCTGATGGCCCGATGCTAATGGAAAAGGCCAAGTGGTTCGATGCAGCCTTGGGGGTGGACGACTTTACTGGTGGAACCGGTTGGCAGCAACGCTTCAAGAATCGCTATAGCATCGTTGGGAAGACCCTCTCTGGCGGAGGCGGCGCCACAAAGAGCCAGGACATAGAGAAGTGGCTTTCCAAAGAGTGGACGAACATTTGAGACAGCTTCTCGCCGTCGAATATCTATAACGCCGCCGAAACGGCGCTTTTCTGGCAAATGTTGCCGAACAAGATTTTGGATCCTAAAGGGACCTCTTGTCATGAAGTGAAATAAGCGAAATGCGCGTCTCGATCTTGCTCGCGACGAACATAGATGGCTCTTGCAAGCTGCAGCCATTCGTCATCGACAAGAGCAAGTCGCCACGATGCTTGAAGAACGCAAAGAGCCTCCCGGTCCAATACACGTTCAACAAAAAAGTATGGATGACGCGGCACCTCTTTTCCAAATAGATGCGTGCATGGGATGCCGAATTGGAGAAGGCAGACTGCAATGTTTGTCTTCTTGTAGACAATTATTCAGCACATCATGTGGTCAGCCACCTCAAAAGGATCACAGTCAAGTTTTTGCTGCCCAACACCACAGCGAGGCTGCAGCCTCTCAACCAAGGCATCATCAAATCTTTTAAGGTCGGATACAGGCGACATCTCGTGCAGAGAGAGGCTCCTGATCAACCTTCAGTTAGGGCTCATACTGAAAACTGATCTCCTCGGAGCGATACAAATGGTAACCGGCGCGTGGAATGACGTCAAACAAGCCATGATCGTGAACTGCTTCAGCAAAGCTGGCCTTCTAGCTTCACCTGATCACTTTGGGAGCAACGGTGATGTCACAGCAGACGATCACATAAAGTGCCAGCTTTCCGTGTTTCCAGGTGCTATCGCTGATGAGGCCACAGCGAGTGATTTCATCAGCGCTGATAATGATGTGCAAGCTGCTTCAGACCACACCGATGCAGAAATTGTGGCCGACGTCGCCGGTGACGATGAGGCCGACCAGAGCAGCGACGGTGATGCCGACGATGCCTCAACACAACCATGTACCGCTGCAGAGCTTGCGTTGGCATTTAGCCTTATTTGCCGCTGTTGTGGCGCTACAGAAGGTGCTGGGCTTGGCTATGTGGAAAGCCTCAACAATATTGAGAATGGCCTCATGAATTGATGGCTCAAACAAAGAAGCAAACAAAGCTCACAGACTTTTTTTGTGCCAAATAAAGTGTGGTGGATTTCGTGTTTTTCTTTTGATATTCGGAGAAAGTCCGCAAGCGGAAGCTTACCCCAGTCTTTGCAAACTGCCGCTTTGAGACTCTCAGCGCTTCAAGGTAACCCTTAAATGAACATATTTTATTTCGCGATCCCCTTTGAGATCGATACTATATCCATGTTGACTGTAATTTTAACCTGTGAAAGTTTCGCAATGATATGCTCGAAAACAAAAAACTTGTTTCTAAAGCAGAGTGTCCCTTTGATTTGGAATGCAACAGTTGCACAAACTTCCGGAGTTCATATAGGACAACTAGACTTGTGCAAATATTCCAACACATTGATTCACATTTGAATTATTAGAAATTTCAAAGTATTCAAAATGAATGAATGGGTGTATATTGGTTCGCATGTAACTCCTTCTAAACGTGGTTTCACAGGAGTGGACGAGTGCCAAACCATGAATGCACCTCTTCAGGGGAAATCCACACTGCCGCGAAGCCCCACTCCAAGGTTAAATGAACATTTCCTCACACAGCTTCCTCTTTTTTTTTTTTTTAAGTTTAAAAGCTTGTTAAACGGGCTTACATGCTCTAAGTATTGTAATTTTTTTAAATGTAGCATATTTCACAGGTTATCACTGGCATTCTACCAAAAGTCCGATCTTGCTACTACTCAAAGTTGTTTCCACTTCCTTTGAACCAAGAAGAATGGCCTTTGCAGCACCTTTGTTTTAATTTTGAAAAAAATATTGTGCAGGTTAGTTTGATCATAAAAAATATGTTCGTTCTTTTTATATTATGGAATATACAACATTAGTATTCATTTTGAAATTATTCGATTAGGTCAATATTCGCTTAGAATTCACTTCGAACCTAAAATTCACTGATTGCACAAACCTAAGGACAACCTTTCCACGTGCGAAAATGGCTTCACCCAAACAGAAAGAAGGACACATGATAAATGGGTGCAATGGCATCAGAAATCTTAACTGGCACAGCTTTAGCAAAATGTTAGCTCAGAAAGAGAATTGCATTTCATTATTTAATAAACAAAAAAATTTGCCTCCCTGTAACTCCTTTTAGACTTTTCCCACACAAGAAGGCCCCAAACACGAGAGCGCGTCTCAAGATCCGCGACATCGCTATGGCATCATCTGCAACACAGTTAAAAATGAGATTCAAGAACATGTCCAACTTTTTTACCACCTGATATGGGAGCGTTCCAAGGTCCTCCCTCTATGAAAACGGGGGAGAAGACATACTTGCTTACCAACGTACCTACCAGGTGATAAAAAAATTTTCCCACCCAAAGCAGGGAATTGAATCTGCATGAAAAGATCCGCCACAAGCGGCCTAAACGAAAAATGGTTGGCCCGCTCAGCTTTCTACAGACCAGGTTAGCTGCCCAATCTGGCCTGGTAACTGCTACAAGTGTCTTGTTTCTTTGACTATTTCTGAATCTCCCACCAAATGTCTTAGTGTCACGTAGATATTAAAGCCAAAGACATTTCTCACTGCCTCGGGGGACGCTATCTGTTGCAGGGAAAGCAATCGACTCTATTGGGTAAATTGTTCCACTTAAGCCGCTCCACCGTGAAAGCTGGTATAAAGCGTCGGATGACCTAACTTTTGATGTGTGCATGCTGGTAGTGAAGGCATGGCCAATGAATTCAAAAGGAATGAAGTACGCACAGCATGATATTTTATACAGGGACACAAAAGAAGAGACACAGACAAGAGCTGACTAGCAACTGTCTTTACTGTTACACACTGAAACCTCATTATAAAAAAATTTCAACTTACCTTTTTCTTGAAAATAAGTTCGTTACATAGAAAAATTAATTCTGAAGGTTTATTCCTAAAACTATATCTATTTCAACACTATTTTTTCTTTACTTTGTTATAAACTATATTTCTAACATCCGAGTTTGTTATATCGAGGTTTGAGTGTATATTCCTTTCATGTTAAATAAAAATTCACCAGCTCGTCGGTGCTTGTCTGGGCCTCTTCTTTAGCTTTCTTGTGTAGAATATCGTGCTGTCTATACTTTATTACGCAAAACCAACTAGCCCAAAGCTTCACTTTACTGAAAAGAAAAATCAGAGTGAAGTTCAACGCACCAGGTCGATCATGCAGACCACGTCCATCTTGTTCCGGGGATGGCTGGTGCTGGCAGCACTGCAGGACGAACGAGCGTCCACTTCGCTCATGGCCGGTGGGCAGCTCAGCTTGGTGGGAGGAACCTCATCAGAGCTCCGGCACAGTGCTTTTCTGAAAAAAGCACGCCGCGCAGACGGAACGCACGTGTCAGTGTCAGCTCCTGTCGCTTTTTCCTATTTCCACGTCTTTTTCAGTGTACCTGTATTGTTCAACAAATATTACTGCGACTGTGTATGTGCTTCTTTGCTCAAGTGACCCACTTTCATCGCATTGTTCGCTGCTGCTGACGATGATTCCGGGACATCTCGCCAACGCAGGCGAAAAACCCCTTTATATGACATTCTGTGCATGACAAAAAGCGTATGGATTTTTATATGCCACAAACATGAACACTCCTTAAACAGCTGCTTGACTAAAGTCGATGTGATTGCTCAATTATTTTTTACCAAGTTCGAAGGGGTCAGATACAGATGATTGATTGAAAATCCCACATCACAGCTACGGCAGAGAAAGGGCCTTTGGAATGCAGAAAGACATGCAACTGCAGTGTTACAATTTCATGAAGAGGGAAGGGGGGCATAAAGACAAGCCAGCTATTTAGGCAGGAGCGGAGGATGCCAAGAACGTATGAGTTGTGTTTTTAGTATAAATGCACGAGTGGGCGAATGCAGGGGCTGGCGATCTTTTTTTAAAAAGCACCCCCCCCCCCCCCCCCAGCCACACCGTCCTTGCAGGAGTGGTAGCTCAAACGTCATAAAATAGCCAGCACTACAGAGACTCTCATAACTGAGTGACGATGCCAAAGCAACCGTATGATGAGAAAAATTGATGCACCAATGGCCTAACAAAATAAAGGCACTGACTCAAATGTTGGTGTCAGAAAGCCAAATTTCTTCAGAGCTTACAGTAAGCATTCTTTTAATGACTTAAACTTAGCATAAAATTACCCTTAACGTCAGTGAATTCATGTAGAAAAACTCAGCACAGATGAAGGAAACCCCACTCATATCACTCCTCTGCAAAGTTTTCTAATAGTACGAACAACAGACAACATGGTATTGGCAGCTAGGCTAGGGGTACAAATAGAGGGGCGAGCAGGCTGCAGACAGAATAGGCATAGAAAGTGGCACATGTAGCAAAACAGAGACAAAGTGTTGTGCCACATGATGTCCCTGTGTTTGCTCTGGCTGGTGTTACAAGGTTCTGGACGATGAGCACAAATACATACAAAAATTACGGTGATACGCAGATGCTATCTGCCAAAAGCCACAGCCCAATACACTATTATATCAAAATTGTTTTACCAAATACGTTTAGTCAAATAGGACTTCAGAAGGCGGCAGCATTTAATACTCAATGCTAAATGCACATGAGTCTTCTTTGTCAAATACTGTGGTTCTTCAAAATAAGCTGATCATCAAAATTTTACTATCTTATTAATTGATCCATTTGGAGAACATTTCAAGCCCAGTGGGGCAGAAAGCCAAGCAGCAACTAAGTAACTAATAACACCGATTTGAGAAAGACCGCATGCCTAGCACTAATGTCAAGAATTATGTCCTCAAAATGAGCACCGATATGCACAGAAGGCACTCATCGGTGTTCCATCTTGCACAGAGCTGGCGAATGCTAGGCACGGTGCCCCTATGTTTTTTTTTTTCCTGTCTACAAAATGCTACTGTAAATTGAGCAGTACCATTAAAAATGCTTAATTATCTGGACTGCACCACCCAATCGAAATACAGTGTAGTATTCTAAAACAGGAGCGTCAGAATCTTTTTGGTTAAGAGTTAGCGCCAGTTAAAATGCGCAAGAAGCTGTTTCATCAAAGTAAAAGTTTAAATGATTTGTATGAGATTTCATAACAATCATTATCACTTTGCTTGGAATATGCGCATTGAAACACGCAACGAGAGTAAAACCAATCAAACATTTTTCTTTGCCTATATACCTCTGTACACGTCCACAGCCCGCCTGTCAACCTGGGCACACAGAAATATGAACAGAGCACAAAAATACTTGTGAATAGCATTTGAACTAACTCCACTTTGCAGCTGACACATTTCAGTCGTTATGGCCCTCAGGGAAGTTATAATGGGCTGCTGTTGAATGCATCAGATTTTCAGTAATTTATTACAACCTGTCAGACTTGGAAGAAATTCAAGGCCGTACGGTACTTGTTGCATATTCTAATCATCCCTGGTAAATATGATTTATAACATGTACTTATTGTGCAATAGGTCATAATAGGTTCTTGTGTAAAGGAGTTCAATTGGTGACTAGAAGCACATGCACAGGTCAATCATTTTACTGCAATCAGAATAATGAGACAAAACTTGTTCTTTTTATTTGCTGTCATTTGCAAGATGCTAAAAATCTTGAAAATACGCACAGCACACTTCCAGTTAGTTACACAAACATACTGAGTGTGCAGGGTGCTGTGTTTATTCCTTGCCAGGTGTCTGTTGTTTTTTTCTAAACTACTAAAGGTCCCAAATTGCAAAGCCTGATTGCATTGACAGATATGCGCCACATCTGAAGGGCATATTTTTATGTATATACCTGAGAGGTCCCGAAAATAGATTACGTTTTGGATGAGCATGTGACAGATAAATTAGGTGACAATGTTCCAAGGTGACTCAGAACACTAATAAGCAAATTCACAGCATGCAATGTGGCTGAACTCTACATCTTTAAGAAAAAGGTTGAACTAGTCTTGAGTGGCACGCAAAAAAAAAATACGAGCATTTTTTGTGTCACTTGTTTGACAGCAGTACTCATACATTTGAAATTAAAAAAATATATATATATTTCCCAGTGCTTTGGTGCAAAAATATGCTCGGCTGTACTAATACTCTATTTTAAATGAAGCGCAGCGTACACACTCACGATACTATGACAACAAATGTGCAGCAAGTGTGCATAGTCCATGCTTTTCCATAAAAAGTGGTACCTGTGCATGAACAGGAGATAAACATGCAAAGGAAATGGGAAGCTTGCCCTTACTCCATCTAAGAAGGCCGTGCGAACGTACAAAGCAGCAAAATCGCTCGGAATCGACAGTTCCGACAACTGCCATTCGAGCAAACTGCTGCCAGTTACACAGGTGGCACAAGCTGTCAACAGGCAACGCGGCACGAGCATTGTGTGCCGGATGACGTATGTGTTTCACCCTTGACACTCTCAATGCAAGGCCCCTGATGTCACGCTTGGCTTCGCATCGTCGGTCGTGCAGTCACGCGCCACTGAACCGCGGTTCGTTACAGTGGCAAGTGCTGCAATTTTCTCGCACGGTTGGTGCCGTTAAGCAAGTGGTAACTGTCGCTCCATTAATTCTCTGCGCATGCCTGCCCCTACTCACCACTTCCGGGTCAGTGAAATCGTATATACGCAAAGGATTCGTCCATTTAGTTCCGAAGTTATTAAGGTAGTGAAACATTTCCGGCAGAGAATTGTGGAAGCTATGCTAAAAAAAGCCACAGTTTCGCCCCTAGGCTGAAGCAATGACTGCAATAGCAAGAAAATAGAATATCACACGAAGAAGGACAAGCAGCTTGATAATTTATGATACCACTACAGCACAAGCATACAGCACAGCACAGCACTTGTGCATACCACTACAGCACAAGAAAGGAGGCTCAAAAAAAAAAACACATGGGTATACACTGGACAAGTGTGAATTAACAACTGTCATAACTGTTGCATGCTTGTGTTTGAGTAACATGCTGAGAATGTCGACAATGCAGAAGCTAACACTGTCTGATTTTTATTTTTCTTCTGAACTGCGGCCCATGGAATGACACCTCTGCATCTGATGCCTAATGTACCCTGTGGCATTCTTTTTTTTTTGTCTACATCACAAATGCCACAGAAGGGGGCCACTTTTAGTTACGCATATCAAGGGCCGTTTTTTTTTTTTAGTGTAAAAGCGTTGGTGACAGAGAATACACTCAAGCTGTTTTGAGATCTTTGTTGAACAAGTGGTAAATGGTGCATATGAATAGCTCACCATTATATCACTCGAACAAGCATGGCAAGTGGCTGTGTTGGCTAGCGCAGCAGAGGCTGTGGAGCGAGGGGTACCTGGTTTAGATCTCTAAAATGCTCCTAATATTTTTTAAAACTTTTCTTTATGCCTTTTTTAGACACACACACACACACACACACACACACACACACACACACACACACACACACACACACACACACACACACTACACGCACACACACCACACACACGCCACACACACACCACACAGACACACACACCACACACCACACACACACACACACACACACACACACACACACACACACACACACACACACACACACACACACACACACACACACACACACACACATATATATATACACAATACATTTGCAGGACAAGACGGCAACAGCGAAAATCAATCGAGAGTGTTGATATAATTGCTATGGCAAAAAACTAACGTTTCCATTTTATGATCCCAGTTCTTCTATCTGCACCACCAAAAACATGATGCACATAATTTACTACACTAAGCATCACTGTGTTGGTCAATCCTCCTGAATTCTGTGCAGTGTTTTGCAAAGGAAGACATGGCAACAATAGAAAAAGAAAGTGCGAAGAAGCTTTTGCAGCACGAGTGAGTTGTTAGGCACAAGCCCAAAAAATGCAAAGCTTAGAGTAGAGCCATTTCTCAAGCAAGCAGGACCTTGGATAGGTCTTGCGCAATGGCCATTCATTGTAAGAGTATCCAATACTGCACTTTGAAACAACGCTTTCAAAGCCCCGAACTAATTTTCTGCATCCTTCATTGCCCCTTTTATTACCCGACTACAACAACCTTGCTCTATGACACTACACCGAAAGAGTCTGTTTTTATACCATTTATGAACACTGAACGCCCACGCAATGAAAGTTTACACATCAAGCTACGCTCTTAAGTTTTGTAGCGAAGATTGCAAGCATGCATTTGCGTACTATCCACTGCCATTGCCATTGTGCATAGAAAATGACGTACCTTGTGCAACAGCAAGTTTGTAAACGACGATGTATTGTGGCTTATGAGCTCTAAATAATAAAGATGAAGATGTAGCAATAACATGCCATCATTATGCATTTT